TGGTCGGGGGGGGAGGGGAAATGAACAGGTTATATGGGGGGAGGTGCTGTATGGTCGGGGGGGGAGGGGAAATGAACAGGTTATATGGGGGGAGGTGCTGTATGGCCGGGGAGGGGAAATGAACAGGTTATATGGGGGGAGGTGCTGTATGGCCGGGGAGGGGAAATGAACAGGTTATATGGGGGGAGGTGCTGTATGGCCGGGGAGGGGGGGGAATTAACAGCTTATATGGGGGGATTCAGAGTAACAGCCATGTTAGTCTGTATTCGCAAAAAGAAAAGGAGTACTTGTGGCACCTTAGAGACTAACCAATTTATTTGAGCATGAGCTTTCGTGGGCTACAGCTCACTTCATCGGATGCATACCGTGGAAACTGCAGCAGACTTTATATACACACAGAGAATATGAAACAATACCTCCTCCCACCCCACTGTCCTGCTGGTAATAGCTTATCTAAAGTGATCATCAGGTGGGCCATTTCCAGCACAAATCCAGGTTTTCTCACCCTCCAGCCCCCCACACAAATTCACTCTCCTGCTGGTGCTAGCCCATCCAAAGTGACAACTCTTTACACTATTACCAGCATGATGATCACTTTAGATAAGCTATTACCAGCAGGACAGTGGGGTGGGAGGAGGTATTGTTTCATATTCTCTGTGTGTATATAAAGTCTGCTGCAGTTTCCACGGTATGCATCCGATGAAGTGAGCTGTAGCTCACAAAGCTTATGCTCAAATAAATTGGTTAGTCTCTAAGGTGCCACAAGTACTCCTTTTCTTTATATGGGGGGAGGTGCTGTATGGCCGGGGGGGAGGGGAAATGAACAGGTTATATGGGGGGAGGTGCTGTATGGCTGGGGGGGAGGGGAAATGAACAGGTTATGGGGGGAGGTGCTGTACGGTCGGGGGGAGGGGAAATGAACAGGTTATGGGGGGGAGGTGCTGTACGGTCGGGGGGAGGGGAAATGAACAGGTTATATGGGGGGGAGGTGCTGTATGGCTGGGGGGGGGGGGGGAAATGAACAGGTTATAGGGGGGAGGTGCTGTACGGTCGGGGGGGGGAATTAACAGGTTATATGGGGGGAGGTGCTGTATGGCCGGGGAGGGGGGGGAATTAACAGGTTATATGGGGGGAGGTGCTGTATGGCCGGGGGGGAGGGGAAATGAACAGGTTATATGGGGGGAGGTGCTGTATGGCCGGGGAGGGGAAATGAACAGGTTATATGGGGGGAGGTGCTGTACGGTCAGGGAGGGGGAGGAATTAACAGGTTATATGGGGGGAGGTACTGTATGGCCGGGGAGGGGGGGAATGAACAGGTTATATGGGGGGAGGTGCTGTATGGCCGGGGGGAGGGGAAATGAACAGGTTATATGGGGGGAGGTGCTGTATGGCCGGGGGGGGAGGGGAAATGAACAGGTTATATGGGAGGAGGTGCTGTATGGCCGGGGGGGGAGGGGAAATGAACAGGTTATATGGGGGGAGGTGCTGTATGGCCGGGGGGAGGGGAAATGAACAGGTTATATGGGGGGGAGGTGCTGTATGGCCGGCGGGGAGGGGAAATGAACAGGTTATATGTGGGGAGGTGCTGTATGGCCGGGGGGAGGGGAAATGAACAGGTTTTATGGGGGGAGGTGCTGTACGGTCGGGGGGGGGGGGGAATTAACAGGTTATATGGGGGGAGGTGCTGTATGGCCGGGGGGGGAATTAACAGGTTATATGGGGGGAGGTGCTGTATGGCCGGGGGGAGGGGAAATGAACAGGTTATATGGGGGGAGGTGCTGTACGGTCGGGGAGGGGGAGGAATTAACAGGTTATATGGGGGGAGGTGCTGTATGGCCGGGGGGGAGGGGAAATGAACAGGTTATATGGGGGGGAGGTGCTGTACGGTCGGGGGGGGGGGAATTAACAGGTTATATGGGGGGAGGTGCTGTATGGCCGGGGGGAGGGGAAATGAACAGGTTATATGGGGGGGGAGGTGCTGTACGGTCGGGGGGGGGGAATTAACAGGTTATATGGGGGGAGGTGCTGTATGGCCGGGGGGGAGGGGAAATGAACAGGTTATATGGGGGGAGGTGCTGTATGGCCGGGGGGGGGGGGGGAAATGAACAGGTTATATGTGGGGAGGTGCTGTATGGCCGGGGGGGGGGGGGGAAATGAACAGGTTATATGGGGGGAGGTGCTGTATGGCCGGGGGGGAGGGGAAATGAACAGGTTATATGTGGGGAGGTGCTGTATGGCCGGGGGGGAGGGGAAATGAACAGGTTTTATGGGGGGAGGTGCTGTACGGTCGGGGAGGGGGGGGAATTAACAGGTTATATGGGGGGAGGTGCTGTATGGCCGGGGGGAGGGGAAATGAACAGGTTATATGGGGGGAGGTGCTGTATGGCCGGGGGGGGAGGGGAAATGAACAGGTTATATGGGGGGAGGTGCTGTACGGTCGGGGGGGGGGAGGAATTAACAGGTTATATGGGGGGAGGTGCTGTATGGCCGGGGGGAGGGGAAATGAACAGGTTATATGTGGGGAGGTGCTGTATGGCCGGGGGGGAGGGGAAATGAACAGGTTTTATGGGGGGAGGTGCTGTACGGTCGGGGGAGGGGGGGGGAATTAACAGGTTATATGGGGGGAGGTGCTGTATGGCCGGGGGGGGAATTAACAGGTTATATGGGGGGAGGTGCTGTATGGCCGGGGGGGGAGGGGAAATGAACAGGTTATATGGGGGGAGGTGCTGTACGGTCGGGGAGGGGGAGGAATTAACAGGTTATATGGGGGGGAGGTGCTGTATGGCCGGGGGGAGGGGAAATGAACAGGTTATATGGGGGGAGGTGCTGTATGGCCGGGGGGAGGGGAAATGAACAGGTTATATGGGGGGAGGTGCTGTATGGCCGGGGGGGGGAGGTGCTGTATGGCCGGGGGGGGAGGGGAAATGAACAGGTTATATGGGGGGAGGTGCTGTATGGCCGGGGGGAGGGGAAATGAACAGGTTATATGGGGGGAGGTGCTGTATGGCCGGGGGGGGGGGAGGGGAAATGAACAGGTTATATGGGGGGAGGTGCTGTATGGCCGGGGGGAGGGGAAATGAACAGGTTATATGGGGGGAGGTGCTGTATGGCTGGGGGGGGAGGGGAAATGAACAGGTTATAGGGGGGGAGGTGCTGTACGGTCGGGGGGGAGGGGAAATGAACAGGTTATGGGGGGGAGGTGCTGTACGGTCGGGGGGAGGGGAAATGAACAGGTTATATGGGGGGAGGTGCTGTATGGCTGGGGGGGGGGGGGGAAATGAACAGGTTATAGGGGGGGGAGGTGCTGTACGGTCGGGGGGGAATTAACAGGTTATATGGGGGGAGGTGCTGTATGGCGGGGGAGGGGGGGGAATTAACAGGTTATATGGGGGGAGGTGCTGTATGGCCGGGGGGGAGGGGAAATGAACAGGTTATATGGGGGGAGGTGCTGTATGGCCGGGGAGGGGAAATGAACAGGTTATATGGGGGGAGGTGCTGTACGGTCAGGGAGGGGGAGGAATTAACAGGTTATATGGGGGGAGGTACTGTATGGCCGGGGGGGGGGGAATGAACAGGTTATATGGGGGGAGGTGCTGTATGGCCGGGGGGGAGGGGAAATGAACAGGTTATATGGGGGGAGGTGCTGTATGGCCGGGGGGAGGGGAAATGAACAGGTTATATGGGAGGAGGTGCTGTATGGCCGGGGGGAGGGGAAATGAACAGGTTATATGGGGGGAGGTGCTGTATGGCCGGGGGGGAGGGGAAATGAACAGGTTATATGTGGGGAGGTGCTGTATGGCCGGGGGGGAGGGGAAATGAACAGGTTTTATGGGGGGGGAGGTGCTGTACGGTCGGGGGGGGGGGAATTAACAGGTTATATGGGGGGGAGGTGCTGTATGGCCGGGGGGGGGGGAATTAACAGGTTATATGGGGGGAGGTGCTGTATGGCCGGGGGGGGGGGGAAATGAACAGGTTATATGGGGGGAGGTGCTGTACGGTCGGGGAGGGGGGAGGAATTAACAGGTTATATGGGGGGAGGTGCTGTATGGCCGGGGGGAGGGGAAATGAACAGGTTATATGGGGGGAGGTGCTGTATGGCCGGGGGGGGAGGGGAAATGAACAGGTTATATGGGGGGAGGTGCTGTATGGCCGGGGGGGGGAGGTGCTGTATGGCCGGGGGGGAGGGGAAATGAACAGGTTATATGGGGGGAGGTGCTGTATGGCCGGGGGGGAGGGGAAATGAACAGGTTATATGGGGGGAGGTGCTGTATGGCCGGGGGGGGAGGGGAAATGAACAGGTTATATGGGGGGAGGTGCTGTATGGCCGGGGGGAGGGGAAATGAACAGGTTATATGGGGGGAGGTGCTGTATGGCCGGGGGGGAGGGGAAATGAACAGGTTATATGGGGGGAGGTGCTGTATGGCCGGGGGGGGGGGGGAAATGAACAGGTTATATGGGGGGAGGTGCTGTATGGCGGGGGGGGAGGGGAAATGAACAGGTTATATGGGGGGAGGTGCTGTATGGCCGGGGGGAGGGGAAATGAACAGGTTATATGGGGGGGAGGTGCTGTATGGCCGGGGGGAGGGGAAATGAACAGGTTATATGGGGGGGAGGTGCTGTATGGCCGGGGGGGGGGAGGGAGGGGGGGGGGGGGAGGAGAAATGAACAGGTTATATGGGGGGAGGTGCTGTATGGCCGGGGGGAGGGGAAATGAACAGGTTATATGGGGGGAGGTGCTGTATGGCCGGGGGGGGGGAAATGAACAGGTTATATGGGGGGAGGTGCTGTATGGCCGGGGGGAGGGGAAATGAACAGGTTATATGGGGGGAGGTGCTGTATGGCCGGGGGGGGGGGAATTAACAGGTTATATGGGGGGAGGTGCTGTATGGCCGGGGGGGAGGGGAAATGAACAGGTTATATGGGGGGAGGTGCTGTATGGCCGGGGGGGGGGGGAAATGAACAGGTTATATGGGGGGAGGTGCTGTATGGCCGGGGGGGAGGGGAAATGAACAGGTTATATGGGGGGAGGTGCTGTATGGCCGGGAGGCGAGTGTCCCTTAGGCCGCGCCCATCCCCGGGACGAGTCCCCACACTTCAGTCAGGACGGGAGCGGCTGAGCAGGGGCCCGGCGAAGCCGTGTCGGGCGCCGCTGCAGCCGCCGCAGGGGAAGGCGGGGAGGGAGCCCAACCAGCAGCGGGTGAGGAGCTGGACGGGCGCGCGGTCGGTGTGGGGGCGCTCAGGCCTCACGGAGAGGCGGCGGGTCACTCACCTGCGCTCCCTCAGAGGCGGGGCAGGGCGGGCCTGCGACCTCCGCTCTCAGCACCGAGGCCGGAGGGCAGCAACCCCGCGAGCGCTCCTTCAGAGCGGGTATCGCGAGACCTTGGACGCCTCCGAATCCTGACTCCTCCCACTCCGGCCCTAGGGGCCGCCCCTCCGGGCTCAAAGGGGCTTGGCGGGCGGGGTTTACGCGGCTTGCGTATCTTGCCCTATGCTGGGGGGGCTGAAGGTAGCGTAGCTCCAGGGCATCGCTCCCGACTCCGTCAAGATCTCCCCTCTCCCGGTCCTAGGGCCCGAGGTTGACCTGCCCCACGCCCCGGTCCCAGGGCCTGAGATTCCCTCCCCGCCATCTCCATCTCCAGGCTGGACTCCCCCCGCCCCGTCTCAGGGCCTGAGATTCCCCCTCCCCCCATCTCCAGGCTGGACTCCCCCCGCCCCGTCACAGGGCCTGAGATTCCCCCTCCCCCCATCTCCAGGCTGGACTCCCCCCGCCCCGTCTCAGGGCCTGAGATTCCCCCTCCCCCCATCTCCAGGCTGGACTCCCCCCGCCCCGTCACAGGGCCTGAGATTCCCCCTCCCCCCATCTCCAGGCTGGACTCCCCCTGCCCCGTCACAGGGCCTGGTATTCCCCCTCCCCCCATCTCCAGGCTGGACTCCCCCCGCCCCGTCTCAGGGCCTGGTATTCCCCCTCCCCCCATCTCCAGGCTGGACTCCCCCCGCCCCGTCTCAGGGCCTGAGATTCCCCCCCCCCCCATCTCCAGGCTGGACTCCCCCCGCCCCGTCACAGGGCCTGAGATTCCCCCTCCCCCCATCTCCAGGCTGGACTCCCCCTGCCCCGTCACAGGGCCTGGTATTCCCCCTCCCCCCATCTCCAGGCTGGACTCCCCCCGCCCCGTCTCAGGGCCTGGTATTCCCCCTCCCCCCATCTCCAGGCTGGACTCCCCCTGCCCCGTCACAGGGCCTGGTATTCCCCCTCCCCCCATCTCCAGGCTGGACTCCCCCCGCCCCGTCTCAGGGCCTGGTATTCCCCCTCCCCCCATCTCCAGGCTGGACTCCCCCGCCCCGTCACAGGGCCTGAGATTCCCCCTCCCCCCATCTCCAGGCTGGACTCCCCCGCCCCGTCTCAGGGCCTGAGATTCCCCCTCCCCCCCATCTCCAGGCTGGACTCCCCCCGCCCCGTCTCAGGGCCTGAGATTCCCCCTCCCCCCATCTCCAGGCTGGACTCCCCCCGCCCCGTCACAGGGCCTGAGATTCCCCCTCCCCCCATCTCCAGGCTGGACTCCTCCCATCCCGTCACAGGGCCTGAGATTCCCTCCCCGCCATCTCCCCATCACAGGGCCTGAGATTCCTCCTCCCCCCATCTCCATTTCCAGGCTGGAGTCCCCCTGCCCCGGTCCCAGGGCCTGAGATTCCCCCTCCCCCCATCTGCAGGCTGGATTCCCCCTGACCTGTCACAGGGCCTGAGATTCCCTCCCCACCATCTCCCCATCACAGGGCCTGAGATTCCCCCTCCCCTCCATCTCCAGGCTGGACTCCCCCCGCCCCAGTCACAGGCCTGAGATTTCCTCCCCCCTCCCAAATCTCCAGGCTGGACTCCCCCTGCCCCGGTCACAGGGCCTGCAATTCGCCCCTCCCCCCCCATCTCCATCTCCAGGCTGGACTACCCTTGCCCTGGTCACAAGGTCCAAGGCCTGCCCCCCCAGCCCATCTCAGGGCTGAGCTCCCCCTCACTCACACAGTTTCCCCCCTGCAATTTTAACCAGTGACTAGTGGAGCTGTCGGTGTCCACCTTTCTCCACTAACACCAGCCTTGATGCTCCATTTATTTATCTGCCTCTCACAGTCATGTGTGCTTTCTTTCCCACAGCCCTTCAGTGACTGCCGTGGGTTGTACTACAGGGCTTTGGTCTTCTCCTTGGTATCCCTTCTCCAGACCCATTTCTGCTGCTGTGCTTTCAAGAAGCTAGGCAATAATAATTGGGAGGGCTAGGGGCACTTTGGAGTCAGCCATGAAAATAATAAAACAATACATGCATGTTGTATCCTTTTTCCCCCTTTCTTCATATGTTGCTTTCATCCTGAAGTTAAGCTTTTCCGGACGGAGACTGCCTTCCTATGTGGTTGTACAGCACCTAGCACATTTTACCTGCAATTGCAGTATAAATAACAGGTTTCAGAGTAACAGCCGTGTTATATTCTCTTAAGGGCTAGTTGAACAATTTTGTGAATCCTCAGTAAAGTTATTCTTGGGGAATATCCCCTCAATTTTTCCTTCTCCTTTTCATCTTCTTCCTATCTTCCTTTTCCCTCATGCTCAGGAGGGAAAATGTATAATAGACATTCGCTCTTTTCCCAACTAATCAAGGTAGTTACACAGCATCAGGGCCTTATTTTAAATTTGGGATTGTCCCTACACTGTTCCATCCTTCCCCCTGCTGAATAGATGTCCCATTGGCTGTGTGTTTCTTCGGTCTCAAAAATCTGCCTTTAATCCTTCTAACAAATCAGTTTCCAGTATTTAAAAAATGATTGCTACAGGAAATTAGGAATACAGATTATTTGGTGGGTATTGAAAGCATGCACAGTCGTGCCACTTTGAGAGAATAGTTAATTTTCCAACATTAAAAATGGAAATGTCTTTTACAGAATATCCTGCTCATGTGATCCACATTTATTTTAAAAAAGGATGGAAAGTATAATCGCACTGGGACATTTCAGTCTTCTTCCCTTTCTCTCTTTCTTTGTTGTGTTTTCTCTTTTCACATGCAGCTTTTTTATGGCACTGGTCACAGCATGCCAGGAGGGGAATGCATAAATTTTGAGAGTAGGGAAAACCAGGGTAAAATAAAGCAAATATTATCCATTTCAGATTGGAATAATAGTGTGATGTAACAGGCTTAGTCTAAGGAAGCCTGTAGTGATGTTATCAAGAAAGGATGCTACGCTAGCAGAGTATATTACAAGTGAAAATTAATGTTTTATTAAATAAGACTTGCTTTTGAAAGCTATATACATAGATATTTTTATTCAATAACACCCAGTCTTGAGAAGTGCTGAATGCTCTCAAATTCCAATGGGATTTAAAGAGAAGTTGATGGCAATTAGCATCTCTCTGGCAGTGCTCAGCACCTTGCAGGATTGAGTTTTATAGTTGCCTTTTTTTAATGATATTTCATTTCTTATATAGGTTTTCATTTTTAACAAAATGATTAACCTACAGGCAGGTAGCTAGTGGACACGTACATTCCACACAGAATAATATGCCAAGTAATTTTATGTCATTGAGTATATGCTTCATAAACTTAATCAAAATAGATAAAAACTGGAATGCTGGTTTTGGCAAATGTTTTTTCTGAAAGTAACGTTTCAGGTCTGGGAAAAGATGCATAAGTGGAATATTATTGGGATTGCAGAGGTTGCTGGGAACTCCGAAAACATAAACATGCTGTAGAGTTAATAAAAGCATACAGTCAGTAAGTATTAGAAATGTCCACATTTTCTTTAGAGAAGTCTTTATATTATAAGAAATGCAACAGAAAAATTGCATGTCTTTACCTAGTTTCCAGTAGTTGCATCTCTGCTACTTGCTCCTATTAGTTGCTGGGAACTCCGAAAACATAAACATGCTGTAGAGTTAATAAAAGCATACAGTCAGTAAGTATTAGAAACGTCCACATTTTCTTTAGAGAAGTCTTTATAAGAAAAGCAACAGAAAAATTGCATGTCTTTACCTAGTTTCCAGTAGTTGCATCTCTGCTACTTGCTCTTATGCCATGACATTACTAAATTCTCTAGCATCAAGAGAAATAGATTGTTGGTGGGATTTTCCAAAACATTCAGGATTGGTCGGACCCTGCTCCCACTGATAACATTACCATTGCTTTAAGGGAGCAAAGTTAGGCCAGCATTGACTACTTTTGAAATTCCCACCCAGAATCATTTTTAATGAATATTTATGTCAGTAACTGATACCCTGTATGTAAAAGATAATAATGAATTTACATCATATTCTACAGGAAAAAAATTTTGCTGTGACAAAATAATTTTCACTGTGTCTTCATAGACAACTGATATTAAAAGTAGATATTTAAAGATAGCAAAGTGCGTTGAGAGCAACTGTACTGATGAAAAGTGCTATATCAGAGCTTGTTATTACTATTATTTTTTATTAGATATGGTAATTATTTATACTACAGAGCCTGTTTACCTAAAATGAGGCATGTTTTGTAGGCCTTATTGATAACTCAAGCCAAGCCTGAAGATTGTACTGTACTGGTACTTATTCTGTATAAAGTTGTGCAAAAATATTGTATTTTATTATTTGACTAATAATTTATGATAACATACTCTACATAACCAAGGCCTACCTGGGAGCTGTAGGATGTGTGAGCCCAGAAAGCTATAAGGCAGGGTTTCTCAACCTTTTTCTTTCTGAGGCCCCTCCAATATACTATAAAAACTCCACGGCCCACTTATGCCACAGCAACTGGTTTTCTGCATATAAAACCCAGGACCAGCATTAGTGGGTAGCAAGCAGGGCAGCTGCCCGGGGCCCCATGTCACAGAGGGCCCTGTGAAGCTAAGTTACTCAGGCTTCAACTTCAGCCCTGGGTGGCAGGGCTCGGGGCCCCGAGCTACAGCCCCATGCGGCGGGGCTTCGGCTTTCTGTCGTGGGCCCCAGAAAGTCTAATGCCGCCCCTGCTTGGCAGACTCGGAAACCTGCTCACGGCCCCCCAGGGGGCCCCAGACCCCTGGTTGAGAATCACTGCTATAAGGTACTAAAAAATCTTCGATAAATTGCTCTGCTTTTAGCAAATGTGAATTTGTTTAAATTACAGGATCAAAAAAGGATGTAGACAGGAGAATGCAGGAAGCTCCAGAAGCCCGAATATCTAGCCACACTGATGGCTGTGCTGCTGCCCTTAATGCTAGAATCAGAAGAAAGCTCCAAAACAGATCTTCAGAAGAGAAACTACTGTAGCCTCCGGAGCAGAAGCTTCTGCAGTGTGAACAAAAGGCAAAGATGCATAGCAGCTGTCATGAAGTAAGAGAGCTGTATTTGACATACTTTGTATCAAATCACTTGCTTTCACATACCATGCATTTCACAGCAGCAAAGGCAAACACTGTACATTTGACTTGAGCAGTGTAGTATCCGGATTTCAGTGGTAATGGTAATTTTCAGGTCAAGAAGTAATGGTGAGTGGGAAAGGTGGGGTATTAAGTGCTCATGGAAGTATAGCACAGTAGTTGGGATCAAGGGTGGGATTTTAAGAAGCACCCAGCAATGATCTAACTCTGCTTCCATTAAAGTCAATGGTAAAACTCCTGTCTGCTTGAATGAGAGACGAGTTAACCCAATGCTGAGCATTTTTAAATATCCTACCCCTGGTCATTAGAATTGCCTAATGCTCTCTAGGGTTTTGCCATTGACTTTACTGGTAGAATGACTGAGCCCAAAATAATTAAATGACTTGGGATACAGTGTGTCAAAGTCAGAATCAGGATTCCTACATAATTTGTCAGACCACTCTGTTTATTAGCAAAGTGCTTTGCCAATGCACCCAGATATGTGAGACCCTCTCTGAGGCTCATGCTAACTTATTTATACAATTAAGCCAAAGCCAATTTAACATAAGAGACAAAAGGAAGCAGAAACTGACAAATATACATACATATCTTATTTGCATACTAACGTTTACCAATCTCCTAGCTCAGTAGGAGCTCTAAGTTAATTAGTTTGACTCATTGTCTCATACTCCTTAATGTTTCTCTTCCTGACAACTATATTTCAACAAACCCTTCAAGTAGCATTTCTTTAATGAATTATAATTTCAATATAATTCATTCTACTTTCACAAGTGTTAGCTTAAAGGTGTTATAGGCGTGACTTTTTTGAGGATCGTTTGGTAATATTCAGGTAGAGAATCAGAAAACCAAGGTGCCAAGTTTAAAGATGCTGAATGACATGATGATAAAAGCCTTGTTAATCAAAATAAACTGTTACCTCGATTATTCTCTTATTTGCACTCGTGTAAATCAAGAGTAATTTAACTGACACAGAGTTACACTGGTGAATTCTGGTACAAGTGAGAGGAGATTGCAGCAGTACCATCTTAACTGAAATGTTTCTGTTTTGTTAAAACTCATTGTTGGGTGGGTTCCAGTTACTTTTACCATTTACCAGTCTAAAGGTTACAGTTGTACAATTTGTTAAAGGAACTCTATGAGGTTAAAAAAATCATTTAAAAAAACTTCTTTACAATTCCTTACCTATGTTACTAATAAAACATGAGATTATCAATTAGCATACCACTGATAATCCTCTTCCTTTGTATCTTCCACTGTGTTCACCTTTCAAACATTTGCTATTATTTGACCTCACATTAGCCACATATGGCCAGTCTAATTAGAATTCAGAATAACTGAGTCTTTTGATTAATGTAGAATGTGAATGGAATGCTATACTCCACTTTCAGACAAACAGAGAATTCAGCACCCAAATACTGAAATAGTCACAATACGGGTTGGGTTTGACCATTGTCAGTCTGGGCTTCATATTGAGAAGTGCTGCACACCAACAGCTCCATTTGAATTCAATGGGACCTGAAGGAAGTCAGTATCTGTGCAATTCAGGTTCCCTGTAATTTAGGCTTCTTAAACAACAGAGCGTTCTTTTTCTGTTAGTATAACCAAGCCCTCTCGGATCTCATGAGGTGTATAGCTCTGGCAAGAATTTGCTATGGAGGCCATCACTGGAAAATGGCAGAAGCCCCTGTTAATTTGGCTCAGGGATACCTCCAGCTTAAAGGTGAGTTTACAAAATTCAGAGGTCACAATGTTAGGACCAAATCCTCCAGTCCTTTCATAGTCAATGCTCCCAATGGCTTCAGCAAGGATTGCAAGATTTTGCCCTGAGCTTTTACAGACCTTTTTTTCAAAAGGACGGTTTATGTTTATCAAGTCAATGGAACAGAAGAAAAGCCATTTTAATTTAAAAAGAAATAAAAGGACAAGCTAAAGAACACACTGATTTTCTGGCTAAAGCTGTTAGTATATCTTCTTTTCCCTCTGGAATCTTCTGATAACTAAAGAATTTTCCAAAGCATGTGTGCCAAAGAATTTTCATAGCAGAAATACTGTGTTGAAAAGAGAAGGGGTATGAAGCTTCAGAATTTATCACACTAAGGTAAAATCATTTGGAAAGAATACTCAACAATAACGACTTCTCATCCTACCAAAATGTGAGGATCCTAAGAAGAAAATAGGCTTATTTAAGGAGTTATAATAGGGAATATTTGAGACCAAATCTAGGACATCTGTGAAAACTGTGATTGTTAAAGTAATCCTGACTGTGGCATTTCCTTTTTGAATATGTTTTTGAATATGTATGGTTCATACACGTTAAGTTTACAGCTAAGTCCAAGATAACTATTTACTTTATCCCTTACAAATTTCTAAGTAACTTTACAAATACGTGTGTGGTGATCTGTCTCCTGCAATGTGTTCTTCACAAACATGAGAAAACTTTTTAGGTTCCATCCATGCTTGAATACCTAGGAATCTTCAGAATTAATCTTGCTTTTCAGTTAAATATAGAAGCCTGGGGAGAGGCATGGGATCATGGGAATTGTGGGGTTATCATTGTTGTCTGTATTCCTTAACAAACAGTAATCTTTGCCATGTCTGTGCTTTTACATTGTGTTACTCTAAAGATCAGCTGAATAAGATAACAAATCGGACATGTCAGGTTAATTAGTGAACAAGACTTACAATGTCTAAGCATGCATAAGAATCTTTATAATTATGTATATCACAATACGCAGTAATGTTGATGAGCGTTTGGCCAGATCACTACTTGAATGAGAGATCTTTAAGGAGCTGCAAGAAGTGGTGTTGGTGATTCATTAAATGTCACTCTCTCTTACCTCCAAATCCATATGAAACCAGTGCCAAAGGACGGTACTAATAGGTGTTGTGCTGCTGGCAGTGCCAGCTTTTAGATTAGATGTAAACTGAAGTCCCAAGTACTCACTGAAATCCCATGACCAGGTTCTGATTAGTATTTCTGTTGTCTCCTCTTTTTGAGATGATTTATTGTATCTTGCCATGGTTTTTGCACTTGTTCCTCTGAATTATTTCTCCTTTTGGTTTGAAAAAATTCAGTAAATTAATAAATCCTCATAGCACTTCTCTTAAGAACCGGGGTGTTATCCTCCATGTCCTGGTTAAGTTCCAACTTGGACAAAATTCACCCAGTCGGTTTCAAGTGGCTACAATGTTCTTTATTTCTCTGCTTACAGAACGTGTGTGGATGCATTTCAGTGAAGGGTAAAATGATCCCTCTAAATACTCTGGATGCAATTCTGCATGGTGTTATACTCCCTCATCTTTCAGAGGAAACTGGGATGGATCCCTGTACCTTGCAGGGTCAGCTCCATAGTCTGTAGTTCTGTAGAGCACTTTAAGGCATCCAAATGATACCGTATAAAGCTGCTTTATTATATTATTATTAAAATTAAACCAATGAAAGCATTTTAGGATTTCGTTTTTAGTTACATTTGCAATAGACTGTTTACTAAATAAGAAACATTGGCAACTCTTTTGACCAGTTGTTTGCGTTAACTGAAATTAGCTTGAGTTCTCCAATTGCATCATGCAGTCTGTTTCCTTTATCTTTAAAAAGAAATTATGGCTTGCATCAGAGGACTTCAGTAATGGATTTGTGAGGATAAAAAATTGAATATATTTTGGTTTTTACAGGCATGAATCTTGATTTTTCAGGTAGACTGAATGTGATCCCATTGTTGTTGCCCAGATCTCTTGGCTTATCTCTGCCTCTTGCTGGAAAACCTGAATATACTTTCTAGATTAAATTAAGCCAAAGTCTTCCGACAGGAGAAGGAAACATCGTAATCTTCAGCATACATGTGGAAGTAGTTACATTTTCCTCATGAGAATCTAAAAGCTGAATCACCCACAGAAGACTTTTTTTTCTTATTTATGTTCACAGGGTTTTCACTACAAGCAAAGCAACATGCAGAAAAAGCCAAAGAAATTCTTCTTGCCAGCTCACCTATCCCTGCTTCTGATTCTGAACAAAGAATGGACATTCTTAAATGCTCAGTTGCCATTTGTCAGACATTAGGAAGATCATGAACTGCTCTTCACGAATATCCTTTCTCAGTTTTATTTGTTACTTGCAATTGGTTCTAGAAGTTTATTTCAGATCAATAGATTGGATCTATTGAAATGATATGAACACCTGACAAATGTACAGTGTTAATTTCTAGAATTGTCTATTGAAACATCCAATAGGAACCTCATTACCCTTAAAAAAAGCATATGGCCCCCCATATTCATGTTGTAATGCCAATAACAGTATTCCTTAGAGTGGTTAATAACTCTTAATAACATCTCTTGCCAGGATGGACCTTAATCTCTAGGGAGTGGCCTGCATCTTTTCCATCATTGTTTAAATAACAGCAGTTACATCACTTCTGTTATTGTCACTTAAGTCCTATCGTTACAAGGATCCGAGAAACGAAAACCTAGGTCCAAAATACAAACTGGATAGGTACGCTGGACCCTTGCTAGAACACGCGTCTATATAGCGTGAATCCGCATGTAATGCGGTCGCGGCCATGAATCCCAAATTTAATTACTTTAATTGGAATTCATTTTAACACGGTACCGCGCATGGATCCCAAATCCCGCGTTCTAGCGAGGATCCAGTGTACATAGTAGACAGCAGATCCCACAGATTGAAATGTACAGTGAGAGCTCAAAACAAAATCAGTCTTTAGCCAGGAGATTGGAGGTGGTTAGGCCATTCATAAGGCCTAAAGCAAAATGTGGGTGGAAGAAATAAGTATTTCTGCCCCCTCCATGAGAGTAAAGAATTTTTAAGATTGTGGCACTCTGACACTGTCTGGAAGCTTCATAATTAAGAGATCCACTGACAGCATACCAAAGATGCTGGATTTGTTGTTCTCACACACATTTTGTCATACCATGCCTCTTCTCACTGTTGTGAGCAATAAAGTATGGAAGGGGACAAGATTCTTACTCTCTGGTCTTTTCAGAGAACAAATTCTTGTCTATTTCCTTTCTCTTTTTGTAAGAACAAAGTAGCTAGGGAAAGCAGAGATATGATAGAACATTTGTACCCACTCATGGTCATGAATACGGTTGCATCCACAGTGACAAAAACTCAACACAGAACTGAGATTGGTCACCCAGAACGGAGATTTCTATTAATTAATTATAAAACAAAGTTTTTTAGACATTAATTAAACCTCATAACACTCTGTTAGGTTGAGCAACCAATCTGACAGAAGGGTAAACAGACACAGATTGGTTCAGTTTATTTTCAAAGGTCACACAAAGTTGCATGGCAAAACATAGTCGGAATCAGAAGTCATGAATCCTTCTCCAACTTCTGCACACTAGGTAAGGGACAACATCTCACTATATATTTTAACACTGTTGCAGCCAGACTGACAGTTTTCTCCCTTTCAGGAGCATATAGTAACTCAAAAGAAATTAGTTTTAGACAGGCTTACATTTTGAGTCAACTTTTAAGTTGTTTTGAGTTCATGTGGATATCTGGATATTTTAAAAGAGATGTTCAAATGCATTGTATTTTTCAAAAACAAACATTTGCAGTACACTTGAAATTCTTAATTTGCAGCATCTCACATTACACAAATTAAATCACAAAAAACCCTATACGTTTTTTCTGATTTTCCAAAGTATGCCAATTCTTTTCATGACCTACATGAAGTGAGTGCAGTTATCCTTAGCACTACTCAGATTGAAAGATTCAGAGAGAAATTTAGTAAAAGCTCAGAAACTTTCAGAGGAACTACTACAAAGTGATCACATGCCACAGGACAAATGGATGGAAATCAAAGCAGCAGCTGAGTTGTCGTTTGCACAGTAAGTTTGGATTCTATTATTAAATTTTTTTTTTTAAATCCAGTGTAACACTAACAAATTTAGATAATAAATAAAATATAAATAACATATGTATACAATAGAGGGTTTGAAAGTGGTTTTATAAATCTGCCATTTCATACATTCACTAAGGGGGAGGTCCTCCTACTAGTTTTACAATTTACTCTTCACTTTTAAGGCAAAGATGAACGTATATGACTCCCTTCAGAGACCATCCATACTGCTTCTTAATTACCACAGGGGTCGCTATGGAATTATGTGAACTGTTCCATCCATTTCTTGCCAAAACAGGACCAATCTCGGATTTGAAATTCTCCCACATCCTACAGCTATATCACTGGCCCACCACCACCTACTCCTTTTTAAATGATGTTATAGTGTCCCATTCAGTCTGGATGGGCTTTCAGCATGGTCTTCCCTAAGCAGTCAGTCATAGGTTTATGATGAAGTTACTTCTTCCCTTGAAGCCCTGCCAAAGCAGTGACTCAGCAGTGTGAATTCATTGGCTGGAAGGCCTTGCAGCCTCCATGATCTTTTGCCCTGAATCCTATTCCATCTGTTGTTTTGGTTACAGTAGCAACACTGCTGAAAGATGAGATTAGGAATTTTTTCTTGCTTGATACTATCATGGTCTCTTCTGTTTATGTCACCAGAAACTCTGTGCAATGCTCATGTATCTGTGCTTGACAGCTGATCTTTCAAGGCTTGAGCCTGCATACCACAGAAGTGACATGTTGCTTTTATAATCACAAGGTTAAAAGTGATGAGCAGGACAGGGAGTGCTGGGAACCTGATCCTGTATTAAGGAAAGTGCTGCTTTGTAGCTGCTAAATTACTCCTAATAGCAAGAGGCCGGCTACGAGGGGAATTTATTGCTAAGAAATCATCATCTCGCTGCCTACACCCTGCCTCCTTTTTACCTTGTGCTCTTCAGAGGGGGCTGGAAACTTACATTTGCTTGGAGCAGAGCATTACGCCTCCTAGTGCGTAACCTTTTTGTGGCTACACATACCAATTACACTTGCACTGAAGTACAGTAACTTTGCAGGAGAAGACCTATGTGTTCTCCAGTCACCACTGGCCTGGAGAGTAGAGCTCCACCAACTAGTCTATTATTTGACTTGGAGCTAAATTCTGTCCCTGGAGTAAATTGGCATAATTCCATTGACTAGAATTGCACGTTCTTATGCCAGAGCTAAATATGGCCACAGTCAAATGCCTCAGTGATGATGTATGGTACTGTGTTTCCAGGCTAGTAGCACAAGCTTGGAAAGTTGCAGGTAGTGGCTTCTGTAATCTAATAGTAAAGCCTTCTGTAGTCATTGTATGCTGTCTTGCTTAGCTAGGGTCAGATATAAACATGAAGTAGTAATAATGGTTTTAAGGTTTTGTTGTGATTGTTACAAGATTTGTAGTTCTCAGTTTTGCAGATTCAGGGGATTCAGATAGTTCATCTGAACTTTTGGGTTTAGAGAGGAACTGCACAATTTGAATCTTTTGAGGCTCCACAGTCACTAGCTTTGACGGATAAGCCTTTTCCCTCCAATATTGTGGATACTACTCCTGTTGAAACACATTAACTAATTACACTTTGTTCCAGTATCTTCCCAGGTATCAAAATTAGGCTGATTGCTCTATAATTCCCCAGGTCCTCTTTGCTCCCCTTTTTAAAAATAAGTACTATGTTTGCCCTTCTCCAGTCCTTTGGGACCTCATCCGATCTCCATGAGTTCTCAAAGATAATTGCTAATGGTTCCAAGATTGCTTCTGCTAGTTTCTTAAGAACCCTAGGGTGAATTTTATTGGGTTCTGCCAACTTGACTACATCTATATCTAAATATTCTTTAACTTATTCTTTTCCCTATTTTGACTTGCGTTCCTTCCTCCTTGTTATTAATATTAATCTGGTCATAATTTCTTTTTCATGAAGACTGAAGCAAAATTGGTATTAAACACCTCACCCTTCTTGATGTCGTCCATTATTAGCCTTCCTTCCCCACAAAGTAGAGGACCTATGCTTTCCTTCATCTTTCTCTTGCTCCTAATGTATTAATAAAACCTTTTATCGTCTTTTTTGTCCCTTGCTAGGTGTAACTTGTTTTGTGCCTTAGCCTTTCTGATTTTGTCCCTTTGTGCTTGTGCTATTCTTTTGTACTCCTTAGCAATTGGTCCACATTTCCACTTCTTGTAGGATTTCTTTTTGATTTTTCAGGTCATTAAAGAGCTGTATCAAGCTGTATTGACCTCTTACTATTCTTCCTATCTTTCCATCACTTTGGGATAGTTTGCTGTTGCACCTTTAATATTGTCCGAGAAACTGTCAGCTCTCATGAACTCATTTCAGATATGTTACAGGCAAAATCCTCAGCTGGTATCAGCAAAACTATATTTTGGGCAGCTGGTAGCTTTTGCTTTTTTATAGTTTCCTTTATATTAAAAATATGTAGGTTGATTCTTCACTTACACCAAGGTAAAGAGTGTTGACCTGAATTTATGGGCTAGTTTATTACAGCTCGCCAATGATCTGACCAGAAAATATTTAGGTTCTTGTCCCAGTTCAGGCTACAGGGTTAGAAAACTCAGAGAGTTTAACGTCATGAGCAGACCCTCGGGTTGTGTGGCAAGGACACTTACACTGAGGACAATACCAAAACGTTAAGACCTTTATGAAATGAATGAAAGAATAAGAAAAGATATAAAACACAGAGCCACAAAGAAGTAATACAATTCTTTGGCCCCTGGTGGTAACATCTTTGTTCTAAAGGACTACTTAAACTAGCATACTCTCATCTTTCCCTGAAAACCTGGTAGTTGGAGACAGAGGACCAGCCCCATCTCTGGCCTGCCCGATGAATTTGATGGTCCAGGCTCCCCAAATTGCTAGGGATCAGGTTCAAGTGTTGAGTAGCTAAATTGTATTGCGAAGCTGAGCTGATAGCTTGATAGAAGATAGGAAAAAGCGATCCCCCTGCATGGTTGTTTACCCTCTTATAGGGTTCTGGGACTGTTTTAATCAGGCACAACCTACTATGCCCAAATCTTATTTCCTCACCCAGATAAATCTTCGGGTACACTTACTCTATAGGCTAACATATTATGACATATATACATACGTATTAATGTTGATTATCTCATCCCCAAAACCGTTACCTTTGGCCTACGTCATGACTTCCATGTTCTGCAGTGTACCCTGCTGTTACCGGTCTGTTCCGGACTTAATGTAAACACATTCAGTTCTTTGTTTGGTTCCCCGAAGTCAAAAGGGCTAACCGGTAGGCCATTTATGTATGGCAAAGGTTACAAACACTTATGCTAACTTGCTCTAGCTAATCATACAGGATACAGGCCTGTAGGTTCCTTGTGTTACAGCCAACTATTATGAGTAACATATACTGGAATTCAGCATCAACAAAACAAAACCCAAGACAATAACAATATAATCAATCAAACCAATGAAGAAAACACATTATGCAATATAGCAGGAATCGGCAACAATGTTCCCTCTAATTTTTGACAGGCCATGTGCGCAAAAAATTTCTTCTGTGCAAATTTTTGTGTGCACAGTGTTTCACCGTGTGTGTGGCGTTTAGGATCTGTGTGCGCACACACACATGCACAGCTTAGAGGGAACAGTGATCAGCAACCTTTGGCACGAGGCCCATCAGCTGGCTGGCCGGGCCGGTTTGTTTACCTGCCGCGTCCGCAGGTTTGGCCGATCGCAGCTCCCACTGGCCGCCGCTTCCTGCAACCCCCATTGGCCTGGAGCAGTGAAGCATGGCCAGTGGGAGCTGCGATCGGCTGAATCTGCAGACGCGGCAGGTAAACAAACCGGCCCAGCCCGCCGGGGGCTTACCCTGGCGGGCCGCGTTCCAAAGGTTGCCGATCCCTGCAATATAGCAAGCTAGCAAACTGGCCTTATGGACTACAAGAGGAGTTACTTCCCAAAAGAATCTGTGTTTTTGCTGGTGCAGAAAAGGATCCATGTAACTGAAGAGCATAGGTCATCTTATGTGTTGTTTCCCAATGTCCAGCTTATTTCATTAGCATATCATGTTGGTGCAGCAGAACCTGCTTAGCTGAGCATGACAAAGTTACAGCTAATGGTTTTAATGCTGTTTACATTGAATCCTAAGCCTTTGCTAAATCAGCTGTTGCCTCCCAAACACTACCCAGAATTGGAAGGCAGATGGAGCCCTTGCATGCCTAGTGTCCATATTCCAGTGGTTAATGATTATGTGACATCTGCCTTTATGCTTAAATTGTTCTTTTATTTAATTACTTCAAATTTATTAAACTTTAATTGACTCCCTTTCACTTTGATTTGTCTCAATTCCATGTTCTAATGAGAGATCTGAAATGCTCTAGTTTGAATTAAAATGACATATTTTGCCCTTTTGTTTTGGTAAAACATGTGCTCAGAAGAGTAGCTTTTAAAACAAAGTGTCCACCTCAGATTTGTGCTGAGCTGAGGATTTGAGGGAAAATTCCTGAAAGTGAGATCAAGTAGGCCATGGAATAGACTCTCTGGGGAAGTGGTGGAAGCTACTAGTAGTCCGAAGGGAACAATCCTAGCAGATGACATACGAATAGTGGATTTTTAACCTGAACTGCACTCTTTGCTCACCGCAGTTCCCAGTGATATTACTAATATTAAGTGTGCTAGGACTGATGCCTTATTGACATCCCTAAAGACCTAATTCCACTGTTAATACACAGAGCAAGTACAGGAAAGGCAGAACAAGCTTCCTCTCCACCGACCCCTTCCCCACTGCTCCAGCTAGAGTATCTCAAAAAGGGACTATCTCTTAAGGGTGAGAGAATCAGTCTCTGTGGCTTATCCAGTTGTTAGCCTCTCTTTAGAGAGGGTGAAGAATGTAAACTGAGACTGGGATTTTTACTATGTGGACACTGGTTGGCTAGGAACTCAGTTAAAGCTACCAAACTCATTTCACATAAACCAGCATCATTCCTTATTGAGTCCA